CTAATCTTGTTCAACAAGTTCAAGGCAAAGATACCCTCATCTTTCACTGTGCTCTTAGCCAGGTAATTATTATTTCTGCCTCTTTTGTAGTTGTTTTGTGTTAATAATTGTGGGAATTTTTGGTGAATTATTATAGCGTTATATATTAGTTATTATTAGGTGATTATTGTTTTTGAATGCAATTATAATTGGGTTATTGATGTTGTAGCATTTTTTGATTGGTAGTGTTTGTGATACTAATTGAAAAACCCTATTGCCATCTCGGTTAGATGATTTAGTAAGCTGTAGGAGTTGCCTCGTCTTATTCGATCATAATAAGTTATGTTAAACAAATCGAATTATGCATAATTACAATGCTATGAGCTATGAAACACTTTAGAGGGATTAGTTTCCCTTGGCTTGAGGTTACTAAGGTGGGCGGGTTTCATGATGGTACATGGTTTATGAGAGAAAGAGGGGTCTATGCTTGGATACCTATCGCTTGAGGTGTGTTTTCTATTAATCGATACAAGTGGTGGCCACTTGAGTACATTTTAGCCAAGGGTTACCATTTTTGTCTTGTCGATGACATACTTTTCAATTATCATGTATGGATCTTGGGACTTGGCTCTACCTTTGATCTTTGTCCCATCAATTGGTTTTGCAAGTCCAAATTTCCTACTCATGATCATTAGGAGCAGCTAATTTGCTATCCTTTGAATTTTTGGGTAGCGTACCTTGACCTAGCATGCATTTGGTTAGGCTACAATCTTACAACGTGTAATTTTTCTGCAATTTTGCCTACCTCCTCTTGGCACTTGGTATTTTTCTGTGGGCTTTGGGTCCACTGGGTTAGACATCTCATTCTATTAGTTGTGGGGAAAAAATTGAAAGAATCTTGCTTAAAAAAGGCTACATTGCATAAAGGGAAATGACAATTAGCATTGATTTGATTATATGCCAAAAAGGAAGTGATATGTCGCTGTATCTACAAAGGAAGTAAATGCTAGAAAGGCGAGATCCTTATTCACATGAAAACAAAAAGGTTTTAACACACTGCTTAGTTGAGAATAACTTGAGATCCTTGACTAAGACCAAATGCTAGAATACTCTAGTAGCAGAAAATTATCTCTAGGCCACTCCTATAGTCACACTTTAGCTCTATTATCTCCTACTTTAGAAGTCTTTTTGTCCTTTCCTCTAAAGAAATGGCCTACAGACCTTGACTCACAACTTGTTTGGTTAATGATTTAGGAGGGAAAGAGAGGTGAGTGGATAGAAGAGAGAGGGAGGTGATAGGAAGGGAGGGAAGGAGAAAAAAATTTCTCTTGTTTGGATAGGATCGAAATAGGGAAGGGATGGGAAAAGTCAGCAATACTTGAATTTCCATGACAGTGCAGTCAATTTGGGTTGTTTTCAACTTCCAGCAGAATAGCCCAAAGCTTGATTAAAGCTGAGAGTAATCAGGTGGCACATTGAGGAGGGATAAAATAGCCTAGGACAATTGGGATTTCAGATAAGTGAGTGAAGGAAGAAGAGATATTGGCAATGGGTGGATCTAACATGGAAGGGTAATGGTGAGTAATAACAAGGTAAGAATTGTCTTTTCTGTGTTATTCTTAAGTTAGGAGGGTTTCAGGTAGAGGTAAAAGAGAGAAAATGACAATTGGGGATTCAGATAAGTGAGTGAAGGAAAGAAAGATATTGGCAATGGGTGGATCTAACATGGAAGGGTAATGGTGAGCAAAAACAAGTATTAATAAGGCAGAGTAATCTGTTCTGTGCTACTCTGTATTAAGTTTTGTGGCTGTCATTTTCCTTTGAAATCTTTTAAGGAAATATATTTCCTCCATTCTTTTTTAGTTGACACATTTTGACTTTTGACACTATTCACAAACTATACTTTGACTAGCTTTTGTGATTTTTAGTTACGACAAAATATAGTCATGTGGGGTGTTTGAATGGTCTCAATGCATAATTTATTAATATTCACTTTTTATAATTTTTACTTATTGATGATTTGAGATATAAATTGTTAAACTTGTGCGCTGGCAAATGTGATAAAAACGACGTGTCAACTAAAAAAGAACGAAAGAAGTATTTTTAAAGAACCGAGATAAAATGCACCCCTCTCTTTGCCTGCAAATCCCCGTATCTAAACAAGTTGTCAAGGTATAAGTTTACAACAACATTCTGCTCAACCAGTTCCAATTGAGTCACTTGGTGGAATAAGCATTGTGTACATGCATACTCTGTCCACTTGAATTTGATTTTGTTCAGATTTGAGTTGGACCTCTTCAAATTGCATCAATATTTAATGTTATAAGATGAATGACAACCTACTTATGCTCAAAAACCCCTAAGCTCTTAGCTATGATGATCGAACTTATACCATAAACCTATCTGAGTTGTTGATTTTCAAAAGTAATATAATTAGATAATGTATTGTACGTAGTATCAACTGTGAAGAAAAAAAAAAGAGGAAATGAGAAGCATATTTCAAATCTGTTGAGCACCATCTGCCCTCATTCCACCAATATTGATAAATTCTTTTTCTACATCCCTATCCCAAAATTTTCATAAACTATACCAGTCGTTTTGTTCTTAAACTATTTCCGTGAGTCTATACAACTACAAAAGCCAAGATTGCCAACTTACACAAAGATTGTTCAAAATGATGTGTACAAAAACTCACAAATTTAACTTGATTGAGATGGTATACAAAATAGTAAGCGAACTATATAATTGTGAGTCTCAAACGCTTAATATCTATTATGAACCTATTAATCATAATCTGTCTTGGAGGGTTTCATTCGGCAAATTTTAGAACTTGGCTTTCCCCTTCTCAAACAATAAAAGAAGAACCTTGAATTGCCTTTATGATACAAAGCAGAACATGGCACTTATAAGTTGGTAATTACATAATTACCAGTGTTTGTAGGCTGGCATTGACCTTATTTCTTATTTCATGTATTGTATTTTTCAGTCATATTGGATTTTGTAAGATCATCTCAACGTGCACTTTCCAAATATGTAATTTTCATAATTTTGTTAAAACGCAATTGAAGATATTTAGTAATAAGTAAATGGAAATTAATTGTGGTCTAGTCTTTTCTAAAATAATCTGATTCCGACAAGAATAAGTAATAAATTTATGAAATTAATAAGCTGAACTGCTGAAGAGAGCCTGTTCTTTAGTTAGCTTGAATTTTGTTTTATTTAATTTATTTAGAGTACTGCTCCTATCTATTTTGGATGTCTCAATGGGAGCAATGTAATAGAAAATAATGAAGGGGAGATGGAAGGAAGTTAACCAAATAGGGCATACTACTTACTTGAATAGTAATATAGACCATCAATGTTGAATTGAATGTGCCAGTGTGCCACTATAGGAAGTTTAATGAAAAAGATATGGTGGGAGTGGCTTGATGTGTTTAGTGACTTTGTTTCCATATCTACTATACCAAAAGATGATCTAGACATTTTACCATCTTAAAATTGTCTGCTGGTATTCTTCATTCTCCAAGCGTAGGTGTCAGACCGGCTGATTAATGAATAATGATCTATTGATCTTATATGGTTTTTAGGTTCGTGGCCCAAAATGTGCACGGAGGCTGTCAGAATATCTTGCTGAAGCAACTCTAGATGCTGGAATAAAAAATGTAATGGTTCTAGAACGTGGCTTCAATGGATGGGAAGCTGCAGGTAGACCTGTTTGCCGCTGCACTGATAATCCCTGCAAGGCTGAAATTGTGTAGTGTGGACTTCTAAGCTTGAAGACAATGTGCTCATAAACCTGATCTATCCAGCTCATGGGTCATTTATATCCTACTATTTTGTGACATGTAAACCAATCACTTTATACATAATTTTGAATGCTGTTAAATTGTTGATTGTAAAACTTCTTTCAGCTTGCAGCATTAAACAGTTAACACACAAGATAGACTTGAAAAAGAATGATAAATGTAATGTGGAGATTTATTTCAACGCAAAGAAAATTTGGAAATTTGATATCTTCATTGTTCTTTTATTGTTGTCTTGAAGTTGTCTATTTGAATGCTATTTCCGCAATAAGTGTGAGGTATATTTAACTCCTTGCCTAAACTGGTAGTAGAGATAGCGGTTTTACTGTTAATGTTCTGGAATTTGCCGGTTTGCCTCCAATGCCCCATACTGGTATACACAATTACTTCCTCTTAGGTGCAGAAGGAAGCATGCAATTAAATTTCTGATGACTTAATTTTATGTGAACTAACTTAATTTATTTCAGTTACTAGCTACTACTCTCAAGAATCATCAAGCTTAAGTCTCCTCTAGGCTATACTACTCGGAGGAAATTACGCATTCCGTTTTTCCAACCAGACAGAAAATCTTCCAAAATGGTCAGTTTTCTCAAGCCAGTGAGATAATTCAAACATAGTAAAATTCCATATATAGTCTCTTTAAAGTAATCAGCTGCAAACATAGATTTGATTGCCTAAGATATTAACTTAATAATTAATATAGTCTGAGATTGCTACATGCCTACATGTAAGGACTGAATTTGGACTAACATAAATTATTTCAATGCATTGGAAAATATTAATGTTGGTAGCAAAATAATGAAGCCAGAATTACTAGGAAAGGATTGATAAAACCCGAAAGTCGAGAGGCTAAAAACTGACCCGACCAAATCCAAAGTGAACCGATCTACAATTTGATCCAACCCAATAATTTAACACTATTGATACGGAAAATGACCCAGCCCAACTAAACCCGACACATATAAAAGAAAAGACATCACACTTAAACCCTTTCTCTGCCACCAATTAATAGCTTTCATTCAGCCCCTTCTCTATAGCAGTTTCCACCGGAAATTCAGGCAATTCCCTAATATTCTCCTTGTTATTCATAAAATTTCTTGATAATTTGATAGTAGCAAACATGTTTCATAGCTGCTCACACCAACAAATCTTAACAAAACCCATTTGTTTTTCTTAAGTACCACACTGATTCCTTTGGAAAAGACATCAAAAGGATCAATGAGTATTTCTGGTTACACCCAGATAACAAATTCTTTAAATGTTAAGGATTTTAAGGTGAAGAATTTGCCTATGAAATGTTATGGTTCTTATTTTTATAGAATTGTGGGTTCTTGTAATGGTGTTATTTGCTTGTCTTGCAACTCTAGTGCAACAAATTATATCATTTATCTGTGGAATCCTTCCATAAGGAAATGCATACATGTCCCTGATCCGAATGTCATGTACAAGACTCATGGCAGGTTTAATGTGTGTTTATGGTTCGGGTTTAATGAGCTTGCCACAAGATCGTTAGGGTCATTTACATTCATCGAATTGGTTTGTTTGAGGAAGTACCTGTTCTTGTAGAGGTTTACTCTGTGAGTGCTGGGTCATGGAGATACATTGAGAACTCGAGTCCTAAGCATTTACTTCAAATGCAACAATCTACGCAATGTTTCTTCAAAGGCGCTATACATTGGATGGGGTATAACCGGCTTAACCGTGGTTTAAGTGCCATTGTGACTTTTGATGTGGTGGATGAGAGTTTTGGTGAGGTGAAGTTACCAGCTTCTTTGGAAGGGTCTAAATCAAGTTTTAGGAAATTGATCACTAGAGTTTGTTGGGACATGATTGCTTTAATTCAAGTGAATTCAGGTTGTTGTCAAATATGGGTGATGAAAGAGTATGGTGTTGCGGATTCATGGACTAAGATGTTTACATATGCTCATCCGACCTTGCGTCCAATTATGCCGGCAATAAGTATCAGAAAAAACAAGGATATTTTAATGTTAACGACGAATTATGAGCTGATTTGGGACAACCAAGATGCCACCATAGACAATTTTATGGAGAGGCTTCATGCTTTCGAGAATTTCAAAGTTCCAGATAATATAATGCTTTCTGCTCAGAGAATTGGTGATAAAATGGAGGAATTAGGAGTGGTTACAGAGCCACTTAGTGGATGCTAGTTGGCTTCTTATGTGGAAAGTTTTGCACTTTTCAATGAGGGAGAACCAATATTTGGAAATGCTATTGAAGATGATGCTGTTAAAGATAATAATCTTCGATCACAATGATGCTGAAGATGATGGGTGAAATGGGTAAGACAATTAACTGATTAGAAAGCTAGTTTTATTAATGCATTTGCTCTCCTTGTTGGCTGGTGTTCTTGATATTTCTACTACAAGTACAATTATCTTGCTGCCAAAGTTCATAATTAACATATCGTCTTGTCTGAAGATGAGAGTAATCATGGGGTGACTGTTGTTGGATTGAACATGTTTTTATTCTTAATTCTAGAGCTTTTGGTTGCTCTAGAGGTGAAAGTAAGATTTTTCATGGAAATTTTTTAATACTCAGTATGTCTTAAATGATCATATCATATAAGTCAATACTCATAGTAAGGAACAAAAAAGAAATTGCTTATTACAATTTACAAAAAAAAATTGTGAGGAAAAGATTTTAAGCTTTTAATTTCATGTGATATACCCTTTAACTGATGTTTATTGATTACAATTTAGACTTTTCCTTTTCTTTTCTGACCAATGTTTAGACTTCAGGTCTGGCATTATACCTTATTTTGGCTTCCTTCAAATTTTTTAAGGCCTTAATTTTTTGTTGCAACTCTGGAAACATGTATCAGGGTGAATGTGACGTTTTTTTTTATTTTTTATTTTAATGATGTTCTTATAAATGAGCCAAACTTTGATGAGGAATATTGTGTAGTTGTGTTAATTAGGTAATGATACTCGTGTGTGTATTGTGTGATGATATCGATCATATTGTGTTGTGCTCATTATTATTGGGTGATATTGTGTGTGTAAAGGGTGATGAGGAATATTATATATTGGGTAACACTACTCGCGTATGTTTAGTGGAAACTCTCTATACTGATTTACTGTCTTAAGGTGGGCGACTGTGCTTGCTCCAAATTTGGTGACTAGGAGAAGTAAAGTAGCTCATGTCTAGCTCTTTTATTGCTGAGAGGTTTATTATTCTAATGTACTCCGTATAACCTTAGTACTTTGTTCATAGTTGAATAGAGCTTCAAGGAATATGCAAGTCTCAGATTTTCTTATGTATAGGTGGGGAGGGGTGGGGGGGAGGGGGAGGCGAGGGTTGGAGTGGATTGGATAACAGTGTTGGTACTTGGTAGTGATTTTTACACTCCTTCAATCAAATGGATCTTAAATTTAGCAGCTTCTTTCACATGTATGCTTGATCGTACAAGACGATGGTAGCTCAAAAGAGTTTTAAGTATGCTACTTTGTATATTTTGAAAGGAGGTCCTTTGGATGAGGTATTTCACGGGTTTAAGGATGGTTGGATATCTTATCGCTTTGGACTAATAGTTGTGTGGAAGTTACTAGAAATTCTAATATCGATATTGGTATGAGTGAAATATTCCTCTTTGGTGCAATCCTCCTTGCCTCCTTGGCGCCTTTGATCTCTCAAATACTCATGTTTGAATCCAATAATCTTACAGACAGTTATAATGCAGTAAGATATATGTGTATAATAGTATTCATTGTACGAATCTTCACTCTGTACATTTCTGTCTTTGCTTGACGGTCTGTTGGAGGCTAGGAGTCTGTAATATTGATATGGGGAAACATAGATTCTCATAGAAGATCAGCGCATGACCGGCCTACTTACTATATGCACGCGCCCTTTAACTCACATATGCGAGTGGTTAGCCGGAGAAGTTTCTTTTTGAAGCTTGGAGCTGTTTTGACAATATCATATTATGCATTCAGCTACTGTTTTCTATTCATGCTCGAAAGTCTAATGGAACTTTGTAAGTTGTAATAAATGGGAAATTCACTTGCACTGACCTTTTTCATGTTATTTCCTGTTTGTCAGATTGATGCAGAATAATGGAGAGGATCAATGGCAATGGAATTGATCATTAAAGGTGGAATTTGGAGTACTTCGTATTATTTTGCCAATGTAATAAACTCGAGTGTTTAGAATTGAGGATTAATCGCTTCCTTTTGTACTTATCAATTACTCTGTACTCCGTAAGTTGTCTAAGCTGCCTATAATTTCGTGTACCTTGAATCTTCAGAGCTATGGATATGTAATATTAAAGGTTATGCTACATGTGATTTATAAGTCTTGTTGGTATTGGTAATATTGAATTCGTAGAGCTCTTATGCTACCACATTTGCCTGAGACAAATAGTGTTTAGGGCTTTATGCTTGTCAAGTTCTCGCTTGGGTTAATATTGTGTATTGGGCTTTATGCTTTGCCAGGAACATGAAAACTGTGTTAATACTATTATCAGTGTATATTTGCTTTAGTTGTGATTATGTGCCTAGGTTAATTGGTTTCATGTTGGAATGTAGAGATTTGTTCATTGTGCAACCTCATGGATCTAGGCAATCAAGCCATGCACACAACTAAAAATGTGTCAGCATACTTTTTTTTTTTTTTTTTTATTTTTTTTTTTGGGGTCAAAACAGGATAGCTTTGATTACTTTGTCATTATACGATTATTTCAAGGTGGAGATAAATTAAATAAACAAGAATTTAGTAAAAATATTATGGTAGTCCTTGTTAAAAAAAAAAAAAAAAAAAAAAAAAAAAAAAAAAAAAAAAAAAAACAAACTATGATAGTCATACTTAAAATGACTATTAGTACGTATATTAATTTTTTATTGGCTAAATTATTTATTTTTCATGTCAAAATTAATTAAAAATATTTTTCTTCTTATTTTTAAAATTAATCTTTTTTTTTTGTTTTATATATTCATAATTAATTTATGACTTTGATATTTCAATTTTTTTTTAAGAAAGAATTATTTTTTAATTTTAGTGATAATAAAATTGAATTTCGTAAATTAATTATTAAAATAACTCAAAAATTATTTCAAAACTAATAAATAAATTTTTAAAATTAGATAAATGATTTATTGATTTATAATTAATTTTGAAATTAAAAAAAAAATCAACCAATAAAAAATTAGTGTATGGTAGTCATTTTAAAGATGACCACCATAGAATCATCGAGAGTTTAGCATCCTTATTTTTTATGGTGTAAAGAGAGTTGCGAGAGCAGTGATGTAAATGGGATTTGAATCCTAGGTTTTGGGTACCAACTCCAAAGATTTTAATCAACTAAGCTATAGTCAATATTAGTATATGAATAGTGTAAAAAAAAGTCAAAATGTATTAATTATTATAGACTAGGCTAGGTCTCATGCATACACGATAATTTCACATATTTAATTAAAAAAAATAAATATTTTTTGTATAAAATGACATGAGTAAAATATAATTATAACATAAAATAACATGTCATACTAGATCTCGTGCCATGAACGATAATGACATTGCTCATAAGCCTCGTACCAACCGCGTAAAGAAAACGGAAATCCCGTGTTAAATTCTTAAAACTTGATGGGCAAACAACACTTCGTTGAGTCCAATTGGTCAACTGGTCATAGTCCAACTACCTACAGTTGGAAGTTGACATAACAACACCTAAACAAACAAATTTACTCTCCTCCAAAATATGGATGAGCCCTCCCACTCTCTTCATTTATGTTATTTTACACACATCATTTTCTTTCCTTCACTAAAATTTGAAGTATTACCTTCTTTTATTATTTGCAAGAATTTGACATAAAGTACGTGGAAAATGTCTAATCGTTGTAAATAATATGTAATAGATGTAATATATTTGATCACTCAAAAAAAAAAAAATGATTATACTACCTTACATATGAAAATATAGGCCTTGTTTGGTGAATGACTTTTGCTTGGCTTTTTGATTGGCTTTACTTTTCATCTTGGTCAAACAGCCAAAAAAAAGTGTTTGGTAAATGACTTTTTTATTGGCTAGAAAGTCTGCTTTTCCGCCAAAAATAAAAAGCTAGTTGTCTTTTGGCTTTTACCCTTAGTATTAATAATTTAAAGATCTTTTTATATATATTTATATTCTATGTTTAGATTTGCTATTTTTTTAATTTTCAATTCTCAATTTCTTATATAATTTCGTTTTGCTTTTTCGAAAATCTAGGTTAATATCATAATTTTTATATAGTTTTTTCTTAAAATAAATTTTCTTAAAATAAATTTTTATGTAGTTTTTTCTTAAAATAATTTTTTATGGTTTATTGTTTTCTAACCTTGGACTATATACAAAAAAAAAATAAAAAAAAATACAATCTTATAAAACTTTGTTTGTTTTTTTTCGTTTCAGAAGTTTTTTTAATACGTAGTATTGTTATGGTTATATTTTGAATTAGGTTAACAGACTTTTTTTATGGATTTAGATAATATTTAAATTTTACATTGTAAAATAGTTTTTTGTATTAGTTTATGGTTTTAAAAATGTTATCGTGTCTGTTTTTCTTATTGGTTTTTAAAAAATTATTTTCTATATTTTATATTCTTCTCTACTAGTAGATATTTGTATTTGATATAATTTTTTTTTTTTTAATTTTTGTTTTTTTTATGGTTGATTATTTTAAGGAAATATTTTTTCTAAATATATTCATTGTTAAAAAAATTTTCCTCTATTTTTATTTTTAAAAGGCAGACACAACTTGATCAATCCTCCTATAAAAAAAAAAAAATTACAAACAAATTCAACCCAAGCGTCGCACGAGCTGAATACTAGTTAGAGTTATATTCAGGCGTTTATGTTGTGAGGTTTCTCTCCTCCATTGATTTCTACATTGGAGATGTATGTGAGCTCTTCGTGCGTCCCTTCTTGAATTCTCCGTGAAACTTTAGTGATAACACGGAAAGAGGAAATCGTTAAATAAAGACATGGAATTTACAAATGTACCCCCATTTTGCCACGCGAGTTTACAAAACACTCATTGATAAGCATTACCTGTTTATCGAAATGTAAACTTCAATTTTCTCTAAAATAGAATAAAGTGGAGGAGGGATGTTTTGGATAGTCCATAATATTGAAACGAACCCTTACTCCTCCCTCCCCTAGTCCCCTCTTCAC